GCCCTCCCCCTCCGCCCAAATGCGTCCTCCCCGTCACGCCGCCGAAGCCGCCGGTCTCAACGGCCTGATGGACTCTGTCGAGCCGGGGCTGGCCTGCGGCAGCGACACCTCCCACATGAATGTACTGGGGTATGACCCCCGCAGGTGGGTCTTGGAGCGGCGGGGCTGATGACGGCTGCACGAGGGGCGGCAGGGACGGCAGGTGGTGGATCAGGGGTGGATGGGTTAGTCCCCAGGCTGCGGGTGCCTGCACCAGCAGCCGAGTACACAGGCCGCCCGAGGTTCGGCTCCCTTGCAGCAGGCTATGCCCCCACTTACTTCCCCCTTGTTTCACAGCCCGGCCCGCCGTGCGACGCGCCCCGCACCCCCTCACCCGCGTCCCCCAAACGACCTATCAATTAACACCCGCAGGTACTACCGCGGCCGCGGCGCGTTCGAGTCCATGGGGGCCGGCCTAGACATGGCCCCCGGGGACATCGCCTTCAAATCCAATTTTGCCACCCTCAACCCAGACACCGGCGTCGTGGAGAAGCGCCGCGCGGACCGCCAATTCGAGCACCTGGGACCCACGCTCTGCGCGGCGCTCGACGGTGCGACCCACGCGCGTGCCGCGCGCGCGCCATGCGGCCCCCCTTTTTCTAAGCGCCCCTAGACCCCGTTGATGCCACCTGTGGACCAACCAATCTATGCTTCTTGTTCCCGCTCATGCGCAGGCCTGGCGCTGCCGTCGTTCCCGCAGCACAGGGTGTCCGTGCGCTACGCCACAGAGCACCGCTGCGGCGTGGTGGTGCGGGGCGAGGGCCTCACGGATGCGATCTCTGGTGAGGAGGGAGGCCTTGCGGAAACGCACTTGGAAAGGGAGCGGAGGGGGTGCGGTGGTGACGGCCAGACAGTCAGGGGAAGGGCGGGGGTGTGGCTTTTGGGATGCGCGTCAAGTGGCAGGGAGGGGGAGGGGCGGCGAGCGCACACGCCCTGGCGCGGCGATGCTGTGGGTGCAACGCGCTGCGAGCCGGGGCGGCCGAGCGCCGGGCTGGGGTGTTTGTTCGGTCCCACGTGTGATCGTGGTTGACCACGTTTGACCGGGTTCAAACCTTCAGGGACGGACCCTCTGAAGGACAACCTGCCCCTGCTGGAGGCGCGCCCCCTGGACGACACGGCTGAGGTGGGCACTCGGGCGCGCTGCCGCAGGGCTATGCGGCTGCACTGCACGGCAGCTGCACAATTGCAGGGGTGCACGGCTGCAAGGGTGCATTTCTGCAGGGCTCGAACACAGCAATTGCGAGGTGCCTGCTGTCGTTCCTGCACATTTAAGGGAAGCGCCAACACATATCCTTGCACACCGCGGGCTTTGGCCCTGGCGCGACCCTGTCACACGCCCCCTGCTGTCATAACTGCCATCGGCCTTTTCGTCCAAATGCACACGCGCACCCACACAAACACACACACTCACTTGCAAACACACACATGCGCACACGCACGCACACGCACCTTAGGCCGCCCACACTGCCGCCGTGGTCAATGAGCTGTCTGCCGCCATCAGGGCCGTCCTGGAGGGCCACCCCATCAACGACGAGCGCAGGGCCGCCGGCCTCAACCCCGCAAACGTGGTGCTGCTGCGGGGCTGCGGCTGCAGGATCAAGGTGGGGGCTGGGGCCACAGGGAGGGGCATCCCGGCCGCCGGTCCGCGGCGTCGGCCGGAGGGCCGCCCAGCGGCGTCCCTTGTCGTGGCGAGGGGCCCCGCCGCCGCCAGGCTGGTTCTGGGACTCAACGACTTGGCCCCGCCTCGAGCCGCAGCCGGCGCCCTCTGAAAGGTCCCCGCGGCCCTGAAACCCTTCATGCCTCGCTCCCCCTCTGCACACACATACGATCAGGTGCCGTCTTTCCAGGAGTCCCACGGCCTGCGGCCCTGCCTGGTCGCGCCCACCAAGATCATAGCAGGCGCGAGGCCGCCGGCCCAGGCCGCCGGCGGGCGACGGGGCGCCGCAGGGGCCTGCCTCCTTGCGTTTGCTCATCACCCGCTCGCCGATGAAAGCGGAACGATGCGGTGTCCACCAAACTCCGACCAGCCAGACTCTTCGCTTCCCTGCGTTCCCCCTCTGGGCCAGCCTGCTTTTTCACGTCCACCTCGCACGTGCCGTCCCTCACCCCCTGCCCCTACGCGCCACTGTACCCCCCGCGACCCCGCCATTGCTGTCAAGGGATGGGGACGTCCCTGGGCATAGAGCCTCTGGAGGCGCCGGGGGCGACGGGGTCATACGACACTGACCTCGCCAGCAAGGCCGACACGGTGGGGGGGGGAGGGGGGGGGAGATTGGGGTGGTGCATTGGAGTGTG